GGAGCCCGATGCGGGACTCGATCCCAGGACTCCAGGATCATGACCTGAGCCGAAGGCAGTCGCTTAACCAACTGAGCCACCCAGGCGCCCCAGAATCTCATTTTAGAAGGTCAGACACATCCTTCCTTTTTCTGTCTCAAAAATATGAAATGCATTTTATAAAAAGTAAATAAAAATTCATTCATACTTGAATCATTTAACTTACCTCATCAGTGAGACTTGATTCAAAATACTGATAGGCAATACTGAGCGCAAGCTTTAGCCATATTTTATATTCCAAGGATGGCCAGAAGACATCAAAACCTTCATATAAATCCTCCAGGGAGATAAAGCAGGCCTAAAACCACAAGGTACCAAGCAGCAAACTTGATTCAGAACTAAATTACACGGCCATCAGAAAACAAGGTGCCTGTAAGATTTAATCTTCCCGTAGTACTATCAAATCTAGTACAATTCTGATACTCTGCCATTTAAAAGCATTGCATTATGGAGAAATTGTTTTAATAAAATTTACACTTCAATTAAAGCGTACACTTAGCAATACCCAGGAAAATTTATACCAGTCAATAGCTATGATAAAGGATATAGCTCATGAGCCTAAGATTCACAAACTAAGCCACATAAACATATCTATTTTTACTGCCACAGTAGGCGAAGTAGGCGAAGTAGGCTCAGAAGAGGACTTCAGCTGCCTCCATTTTGACCTCAAACTTTCCAGTTGGGTTTTTCTTTCCAGCTTGTCTCTTGGCTCAGGCAGAAGACCCTGAGGGCAAAGCACCCCCAGATGGGAAGGAAACTCTCCCTGCAAGCAGTAATGACTGCCCTGAGGCAGCAAGACCCTGCCAGCGACTCCAAGACAGTGATCAATTTTTTACTGCCCCCCTGCATGTACTCACCTTTGTCCCACATTTTCCTTACTTCCTAAACCTGGAAGTATTTTCAGCACGTTGAAGAGTCTTTGAGCTTCTAGTCCGCTGTCTTCCCAGTGTTGACCTCACTGAAACAAATTCCTTTCCACCACTCGTGTCTCAGCCATTGGATCTTGTCAGCGGTAAGTGGCCAAACCTGGTCTGTTGGGGAGCCCCGGAGCCAGGTGCTCTTGCACCCCGGCATGCCGGCCACAGGCTGATTCACAGTGTTTGTTTCCAGAAGTCAACTTCCCTGAATAAGGAAGACTGCTCCTTCAGAATTCAAGCTACATGAACTTCAATGACTTCAGTTCAGCCGTGTGACTAAATTATGCCTCCTGTCCTCTTCCGGAAATGAAATAGTATGAAACTGACAAAGCAACATTGCCTTGTGTCCCACACACCCCTAAGACTCTGGACCCTGCTCTATTGCATGTAACAGTCCCAAAAGCTGGAGAATTCCTTATAAGCAGCAACTCTGGCTCATTTCTGTTTGAATCCCCCACATGTAGTGGAATATCAGGCCATTTATTTGTTGATTAGATAACTTCTTACTTAAGCCAGTGAAAAATGGGAGACAGGGAGTTTAAAAACAAGTATTTGTTAAAAACACTGCTCTCATAACAGTGGTCTTTCATTGAGTGCCTATACGTGCCAGGCACTTCCCTTAGATATTTTCCTAATCTTCATAACGTCAAAAGTTAGATATTCTCTTTTAATAAACAAGGACACTAAGACACAAAGAGGTTAAAATCGCTCACTCCAGGTCCCACAGCCAGGATGTGAGACACTAAATCTTTTCTAAGCTAGTCTACTCTACTTCACAATAGCTGGGTGGGCGACTGCATAAGATATCAGAACCCAAAGGAAGAAAAGATGCTGGCATTCCTTATTTACTTCAGGAAGAATTAAATAATAGCCCACAATACAGACAGAACCAGTTTCTTACCTGTAAAATAGTTTCACAGATGGCGGTATATTCAATTTCACGCTTAAGCAGACAGCTCAGCTCTCCAATTATGTCCCCACTGGTACAGTATTCTGTAAACATGGTTTGGGACCCTCTATCAGACCTTAGGCTAATGTCTATTCCGAAGGTAGGAGGTGAACTATGCAACTGCAAAGGGAAATACAAAATTAAAAATCCTTGACCAAATCGTAGGAGCTCCCACTGTTTCCTGCAATTATTAACAATGGAAGGAAAAGATTCTTTATGAACGCTTTCAGGTGTGAAAAAGGTATTAAGGCTTCCAAAAAAATCAGTTCCTTTCACATTTCAATTCTCCCAGGGAAGGATTGTTTCCAATCTTTATCTTACAGATGCCCCACTTACAACTTTCTACTTACTTATACCTTCCTTCTGTAAAAATCCCACCAAAAGTACTGATTGCAGTCTGCAACTAATGCAACCATCCATTCTGAGTCCATTAGATGGGGTTTTGGAATATAGGTGAGGTTAGGTGGGGGTGAGGTCCAGAGCCCACGACCAAGAAGGAATTCTTGAGACATCTTTGGTGCAAAATGGTGGTTTATTAAAGCACAGGGACAGGACCCATGGGCAGAACGAGGTGGCTGATTATATACTATGGGGTTGGGGAGAGGTAAGGAAAAGGGAGGTTTCAAAAGGATTTTCATACGTTAAAGAAGACTCACAGGATTACCAGAGGCCTTGCCATTGTCAAGTTAATGTTGTTTTTCCCTCTAGCAAGGCATTGTGATTAATCCTAACATTAATTAGGAGCTTCCTGGAGGAACATTACACTCTGCCCACTTCAAGTATCTGTCAATGAACTGCAGGTTATAAGGACTTTTAATTGTATCTACATTTCCTTCTGGAAGCTAGGTTATTGATAGAAATGCTTTGTTCTTGTAGATTGCTAAGACATTTGTAAGCTGAGGGAGACTCATGTCTTGTAGGATTATGATCTCTAGAAGTTAACTATTTGTTTTTCCTTTTCTTAGCTTTAGGGCAGCCAGGAGTGCATGAGGAATGTCACATATATCCCATGGTGGGGGGTTGTGGGGTGTCAGCTTCTGCTTTGTCTTAAACTTGCCTTCTGTTCCCTCATCATTAGAAATTCTTATCATAATGAGCTAGTACCTCGGGTGGAAGAAGACCTTTGATTACATGGATGCAGAAATCAGATGCCTCCAAACCAAGCCATGATTTCCATCAATCTTGTTGCCCTTTAAAATGCTTAAGAATAATTCCCATGGGGGGCGCCTGGCTGGCTCAGTACATAGAGCATGTGACTCTTGATCTTGGGGTCCTGAGTTTGAGCCCCATGTTGGTGGTGGAGATTATTTTAAAAATAATAATAATTTCCATGGGCCATCAACAGAAAAAGTTTTTAGGGTGACTACAGGATGACTGAGTCACTTCAGGAAAAGAATGGATAGGCATGGATGGGGAAATAAGAAAGCGATCAGATTTCAGGAGGAAGCTGCAGGAATCAGCCAAAATTCTGAAAATCAGAATTTTTCAGAAAGTGTAGCTGTGAACATTAAAGAGGAAGGCTATTGTTCAGGACACAAGAAACAGGAAACAAAGGGTCACTGAAGAAGTTGGCTATGAAACTGCCCCCCTGCAAGTGATTACCATTCAGATATTCAGAGGCAGTCATGCTTCCAAAGGGCTTTGACATTTTTCTAATTTAATTTTGAATGCAGTTCAAAGACTCTTTGGGCAATGAAGAATGTCTCTGCTTTTTACAAATGAAGAAAAGAAGATAACATCTAGAGGCAGAATTTAAAGAAGTCCTTCCAAGATTCCTGTCTCTTTTGCTATTCAATCAAACATTAATCTAGGTACCACTGTGAAGGGACTTTGCAGATGGAGTGAAGGTCACTAATCAGCACACTTTAAAGAGCCGATTCTGGATTATCCTGGTGGGCCAATGCAATCAATCACAAGAGCCCTCAAAAGTAGAAAAGGAAGTAGAGCCGATCAGAGAGACGCAGCATCAAGAGAGCGATTGACAGTACTTCATGTACTTCGGCTCTGAGATGAGTGCCTGCCTGCAAGGATGGAGGAGCAGCTTGGGTGCTGGAAGTGGGTCCCAGCTGACACACTGCAAAGAAGCAGGGACGTCTGTCCTAGAGCTGTAAGGAACTGGATTCTACCAACGACCTCAAAGAATCTGGAAATGGATTCTGCCCTCAGAGTTTCCAGAAGGGAACACTGCCCTACTGACCCTTTGATATTGGCCTTGTGAGACTCAAGCAGAGAAAGCAGCTAAGCCCGCAGGACTACTGAACTAAGAACTGTGGGATAATCCAAGCCACGAAATGCATGCTGAGTTGCTATGGCATCAAATGAACACTAACATAACATCTTCAGCCCAAATATTGTTGCACTTACTCTTTAAGAAGACTTAATTAGGCCAGTCATTGCAGGAAAATTCCCCAAAGGAAAATGTATGTTGCAGCTTTTAAATGTTCAATTTGACATATCTAATAAATATGGTAACAGTGTACCTTTGTTATGATTCGAATGGGAGCATAGTACAAGGATTCTACTGGAAGCAGCATAGAATAATGGCTAAGGACATGGATACCGAGGCCAATTCCATAGGTTCAAAGTCCTTGACCTCTTACTGTGTGCCCTTGGGAGACAAGTGAATTAATTTCTCTGCGCACCAGTTTTCCCATGCAAAAAATAAGGCTGTTATAAGGATTAAATGTCATAATATATTGCCATTTTGACCACCCTTTAAAAAATTACAACTAACTTCTTCAGCTGTCAATCACTTCTAACATACTGTGTATTTAACTTATTTATTTTGCTCATTGTCCCATCTCCTTCCATGCCTCTACTAGAAAGTGAACTGTAAGAAGGCAGGGATTTTTGTCTGTTTTCTCAATTCCCCATGCCTAGAATGAACAGTGCCTGCTGCAAGTAGTAGTGAAGTAAATATTTGTTGAGTGAATGAGTGAATGAATGAAAAGTGCCAGACATTTAATAAGTGCTACACGTGTGTATTATAATATATTTATCAAAATAGTTTATTTCCATGATCAATTATATATTTTTAAGGTCTGAAATACCCCTTCCACAACTAGAAAGCCAAAGATATTATGTGCATTATAATAAGGGTTTGTCACTTGTAAGCATCATTTAGGGCCTGGGAATTATTTGGGCCATAAGCTGGGGCTCACCCATGTATTCAGCTACTAGCATTCAGATTCTAAAGGATTCTTGTTCCCCTCACTCTACTAACATCTTTCTCTCTCTGGTCACCAAAAGCCTCCTATTGGTGAGGTAAAGCTTGTATTTTCAATCCTCATTCTATATGATCTCTGTAAGGATCTGATATTGTGGTCCATCCCCTCATTCTTGACTCTCAACAACTCCAAGTACTGGTTTCCTTATCTGAACATCATGGAAAAGACCACTTCCTCCTAGGATTGCTGCAAGAAATAAGTAATGATTATAAAAGCATTCTGTTAAAATGGAAGTGCTTTTCAGATCTTGGGTATTATCTCCTTTTTTTTTTTTAAGATTTTATTTATTTATTTGACAGAGACAGAGATAGCAAGAGCAGGAACACAAGCAGCAGGAGTGCGAGAGGGGGAAGCAGACTTCCCGTGGAGCAGGGAGCCTGATGTGGGACTCGGTCCCAGGACCCTGGGATCATGACTTGAGCTGAAGGCAGCCGCTTAACAACTGAGCCACCCAGGTGCCCCAGATGTTGGGTATTATCTCTCAGCTGTAGTGTTCACTCTGAGCAGAAATGGTTTCATTTAGAAATTATGTTAAAAATTTAAAACTTTCAAGGTGCCTCAGTGGCTGTCAGTTAAGCATCTGACTCTTGATTTCAGCTCAGGTCATGATCTCAGGGTCCTGGAACTGAGTCCCAGTTGGGGCTCCACGCTCAGCACAGACTCTATTTGAGTTTTTTCCCCTCTTCTCCTCCCCCACAATTCACACTCATGCTCTCTCTCAAAATAAATAAATAAATCTTTTAAAAAGAATTTAAAACTTTCCTGGTTCCTAAATTTCTCCTTATATTAAAATCATATATTTCAAAATACATTTTCAGTAAAGAATAAATAGTCCCTTACAATTGCCATTCCTGAAATAATTAAGTAGATTCCTTGTGGCATTTCACCTTCTCTACAAATGACATCTCCATAGTCAAAATAGGCAAGTTTGGCTCTCTCCTGCAAGAAAAATAAAAAGGGAGTCAACACAAAAGTTTCATAGTCTACTTTTCTAAATAGAAATAAGACTTTAAAGCTAAAATGGTTTTCAAGTAGAAAAAAAACCCTCAAACTATATTCTGTGGTTTGTTAATTAATTATAACATGCTGACATACCTCATCAATTTTTTTAAAAGAAAGGGACAAGCAGGCAAACTGTAGACTTTGTGATCACAGTGACTGGTGGAAACACCCAACAAATGCTCAGTTGAGTAGATGTTTACAATAAAGTGTGATACTTCTGACAAAGGAGACAAAGACAGGATGCTCTGGAAAAGTCCAGAAAGGCCACAGGACCCCCGTCTTGGGTGTCCAGGAAAGACTTTATTTATTTTTTTTTTAAGATTTTATTTATTTATTTGACAGAGAGAGAGAGCGAGAGCAGGAACACAAGCAGGGGGAGTGGGAGAGGGAGAAGCAGGCTTCCCACCGAGCAGGAAACCCGATGTGGGGCTTGATCCCTGGACCCCGAGATCATGACCCGAGCCGAAGGCAGATGCTTAACGACTGAGCCACCCAGGTGCCCTGTCCAGGAACGACTTTAAAGAGGAAGGAACAGCTAAGCTGAGGCCTGAAGGAAGGGTAACAGAGAGCCAGAATACAATGAGTTGAACATCATTCAAGGGCAGAGGATTCACTATATGCAAAGACCAAAGGCAAATAGAACATCTGCACTTGGGGTAACAAAACTGCAGAAGATTCAGTATGTCTCAGACAGGGAGGGGTGGAGACCAGGACTGAGTTATCAATTAGGCTTCAATAGGCATAGTGCGTAGGATTCCCAATACTTTAGAGACTCACAACAACATTCTGGTTTCTTTTTAAATCAGAAGGGAATAAAACAACTTCTGGTAGAGGAAAATGTTTTAATACTAAAACATTTAATACTAATATATTCATCTTTATACTAACACAGTCATAAAGTATAATTTTTTGTACTTTTTGATGGGGGAAGAGGCCCACTAAGGCAAAGTGCCAGGGCTCGTGAAAGTTATCATGCAGCCCCAGTGGAGAAAGGACTGGAGAGGTGAGCCAGAGCCAGACCTTGAAGGGTCTCATAGGCACATTAAAGAGTTTTGGGCTTTTTCCCAAAACCAAGGAGGAGCCACTGAAGGGTTTGTAACAGGAGAATCAGGGGGACAGATTTGTATTATACAAAGATATGTAGGAAACATATTTCTAAATTATTCATAGTGGTTATCTCTAAGTGTGGGCTAAGAGCGATGAGTTTTCACTTTTCACTTTATGTACTTCTGAATTATTTGACAGTGTTGAAACAAGCATGGATGACTTCCCAATGTTTTCTTAAAGTCACCTAAAGCCAATTATCCAGCTTATGTGTTATTCAGACCTTGGTTTTCTACCACTGACTTCTGGCTTATCATTATAGAACATTACGTTTTTAATTAACCACACCAGTTGGAGGATGAAAGAAGGGAGGAGTAGTTAAAATTAACTATTGTAGCTGTGATGGAAACCAAGATTGAAATTATAGTCTACAATAAGGGGTGTTTGTTTTGTCTACTATGTGGATTTTGGTTAGCCACATAATCCCTGGGCTGTCCCTAATGAGAATAATGCCTATGTATTTCCAATTCATCACAATTTTTATCCTGGTAAAATCCAATTGAAAAGTCTCTCAAGAACCAACATATTAAGGAAAGGGGGCACTTAGACTGAGAGAAGCCTGTAAGAGGGTAGAGAAAGTCCAACAGCCTTGCAGAGGTATGGCAAGTTAGGGATGGGAAGAAGGTTGTGCCTCTATGACAGGTTCACCTCAGGTGTCTGTGAATCACTAAATTATAGAGCTACCTTCTTTCATTGGTTTCCCATTACTCCCCATTCACTGCTGGATGGTCAGTTAGTTACACTTGTGAAAATTACTACCTATAAAGAACCAAATTCTAATTTTATCTTAAATTGGATTTCAACAAAACTAAGCAGAAGGCAAATTATAAGAAACAATTTTGAGATACCTTCTCCCCAGTCCAAGCCTATCTCCCACCTCCCACACCCATTTATTTGAGATCCATTTTCCAAAGTATCCCCTATGGCCCCTGGCCATCCCATCTGGTTTCCTCCTCCTTCTTGCAGCCACACTTGTACTCAGCAAAGCAAGACATCAGATCTAAGCTAAGCCAGTTAGATTTCTCTCTCAAGAATTTGAACTGAGAGACAAAGAGCCTGGGAATTGAGAACTGAGCATGATATCCAAGTGCTAGAAGAAAGGTCCAAAGATGCCCGCCAATGATATTCCTGAGCCGGCCTGAATCCCACCATACCCACTGTTAGCTAACTATTTCTTAGCAGCTTCTATATACCACTTCATTGTCTTTTCAGTCAACTTTCCCTTTGCTTAAACTAGTTCAAGTAAGCTTTTGTTACTTTCAACCAAAGGAGTCCTTTTTTTTTTTAAAGGCTTTATTTATTTGAGAGAGAAAGAGAGGGAGGGAGCATTAAGCGGGGGAGGGGCAGAGGGAGAAGCAGACTCCTTGCTGAGCAGGGAGCCCTATTCAGGGCTTGATCCCAGGACCCCAGGATCATGACCTAAGCCAAAGGCAGACACTTAACCAACTGAGCCACCCAGGTGCCCCACAACCAAAGGAGTCTTAATTCAAGTAAATTTGAAATCAATTTCAAAAGAAAAATTCAAAAATTTCTAGCATGAAGAAAACATTAGTATAGTAAAAAAAGGAATCAATCTCAGTAGAACCTCATTATGATTGTTGTCTTTCTAGAAAACAAGACATTATGGACAAACAGATGCCTTATATATCTACCTGCCTAGATCACAAATTATGGTACAACCAAATTTGTGGTAAAGCAAACACCATTTTTTGTCACAGAGTTTTCCTGATTCTAAAAATCTAGCAGAGTTTTTACAGGTTGATGAAAACGTTATAAACCTTTTAATTCATACAATAGCCACTTAAAACCAAAGCCACAAACTGGTGGTCTGTGGGTCACATCTAATCCAAGGATGTATTTTGTTTGGCCTGCATGATACTTTTAAAATTTTGAATTCTTGCCAAATTTTTAAAATTTGGAAATTTCACATAAAAATTCAGATCTACGGCTTTTGTTTTTTAAAAAAAATCTGACCTCTACATTATTAAATCTAATAGTCAATTTTCAATCTTCATCTGATTTGTTCTCAGCCTCATTTGACATAGTTGCTTACGTTCTCCTTTATGAAATATTTTCTTCACTCAGCTTCTGGAACACCACTCTCCTTTAGTTTTCCTCCCACCTAATGGATTACTCCTCAAATCTCCTTTTTTCCCAGTTTTATTGAGATGTAACCGACACACAGCACTGCTCAACTTTAAGGTATACAGCATAATGACTCAACATACATATATTATGAAACAATTACCACAAATTTAGTTAACATCCATTACCTCTTCTAGTTACAAAAAGAAATTATTTTTCTTGTGATCTGAACTTTTAGGATTTAATCTCAGCAACTTTCAAATATTACCATGCAGCAGTGTCAAATATATAATCATCATGTTGTACAGCACATTCCTAGTACTCATTTATCTTATAACATGGAAGTTTGTACCTTTTGACCATCTTCCTTCAATTCCCCCTCCCCCCATCCTCTGCCTCTGGTAAACACAAATCTGATCTCTTTTTCTATTCTTTTCACTAATTCCTCCTCATCTCCCCTCTAAATGTTGGATAGCCCGGGACTCAATCCTTGGATGTCCATAATAATTCCTTAAATTATCTCATCAAGTCTCTATGCTGACAACTCCAAAATCTCTATCTCCCATTTGGCCTCCCACCCGAATTCCAGTCACATATCCTACTGCCTACTCAACATCTCCATTTGGATGTCTAATGGCTTTCTTAAATTTAACTCATTCAGAATTGAATGCTTGTGCCCACCATATAAATCTTCTCTTCTCCATCTAAGTCAACAGGAACTCCATCCTATTTTCAGACTAAAATCCCAGAAGTTGTCTTCTCTCTCTAACACTCCTATCAGCACCTAATAGCTCTACCTTCAAAACACATCAAGAGTCTGACCACTTACCACTTCCTCTAATCCAAGTCCCCATCACCTCTTGCCTCCATTACAATCATCATCTCCCTGGCTTGCCCTTGTCCCCTTAGAGCCTATTCTCAACACAGCAAGGAGGTCATTTTTCATTGTAAGTTAGATCATATCACCTCTCTGTTCAAAACCTTTCCATAAGTTCCCATTTAATTCAGAGTAAAATCCAAAGTCCTGGCCTACAGAGTTGTACAAACTCAGGCTCCACAACTACTCCAACTTCATCGGCTCTTGCCATCACTGCTTCTGCCACAGGGGCTTTGGGGATGTTCCTTGAACAAACTGAGCACACTTCACACCAGGGCGTTGAACTTGCCTGGAATGCTCTTCTCCCAGATTATCTAGCTGGTATGCTACTGCTTGCGGATCTCTCTTCAAATGTCACCTTATTAGAGCAGCCTTCCCTGATCACCCCGTATAAAATAGCTTCCCAACTATATTCCCTTTTCTCCCTTTTCCACTCCCTAATGTAAGACTAAAAGCATTGACATATCTATCCATAGCATTGGCAATCGTCTAATAGACTATATATTTGTGTGTTGGTGTGTTTATTGTCCATCTCTATCCATATAATATAAAGTCCAAAGCAGGGACTTCATTTACTTTGTTTACTGGCATTATCCTCAAACCTACAACAGTCTCCAGCACAAAGAGAATATTCAATAAATATTTCTTGAAAGAGTCCAAACTCCAATAACAACACTCAGCTGACTTTAGACAGACCATGAACTCTGGAATATACCACAATTCTCATTGTTCCCTCTAATACTATACACAGCTTGTTTTACTTTTATATCATCTGCCTGGCCTGTATAGTAATTTAAACTTAAGACCCTTGCTCTAAAAAAGGTCTTTTCCAGAGGGTGTATCTGGAAGTGCAGAACTCTACAACATAAAATAAGATGGGATTCGTAATAATCAGATCACACAGATAGCTTATCCTAAGCAGATAAGCCATTGTGAAAAATCATCTTTGCCCTGTAAACTCCAAGTGAAATCTACTCTTCTGGGTTTTGCTGGGCCTCCATTTTGGCTTACCCTTCATTGGCCATCACAGGATTCTTGCTTTGAATATGCTTTTTTTTAGTCTTACATTAGGGAGTGGAAAATAATTATCATCAAACCTGAGTCAGAATAGAAGACAGAATCTTTACCTTGAAGAACTCAATGAGAACATCTTTATTTTCCAGCCAAACAATATTATGAAGATATTTATCAGGAGTAGGCGGTGGGATTGCCATTGGAAAGTTATTCAGTGCTTTTATTTTTGCAAGGAGTACCTGAAAACAAAACAATCAAAATAATGGTGATCAGATCCTGTGATGGGAAAGGGATAGTAGGTAAAAATTAAGAAAATCTAACAAAACTACTGTTATGTAAATTTATTTTGATTTTGACTCACAGTTTCTCTCACTCTACTTAAATTATCCTCTAAACTTTTTTGGTCCCTATTCTTCCCTTAACTCATTGAATTTATGAATTGATATATTAACTCAATCTGAGTTTATTATCTTTATAATCCAGTTAACACTGCATGCCACTGTGTCTTAATTTCAAATCATCTAAACTTCACAGTTGATTACTGTACAATTTAATGCCACATTTTCTCAAATATTTTTCATATGTATGATTTGCTTCTCTAAATTCTTCTAATTTTGAAAGATATAGTTCCACCTTTGTGGGCTCTCAGAAAACTTCTTTGGCTTCCCAGGTAAGAGATAATCACTTGTCTGCCTTATTCTCATAGCATCTCCTACAGATCTCCCTATGGAACTGATTACATTATAGTATTATTATTTTTACTTATCTGCCTCACCCTCCTATTATGTAACTTTTGTTGAATGTATGAATAAAGGATTAAATGAAAGAACGAGGAAAAGCCAATGGACTTTGGGGGCAATGTTGTACTAAGTATCCCAATCTCCTCAAGAGTCCATGGCACATAGTAGGTATTCAACATATATTTACTCAATTAAGTTGAATTAGCTAGCTAACTCCTTATGACTATCTCCTTATGCCTTGGAAGATAATTATCTCTTTGGCTGACAACTAGGCAATCAGTATGCATTCAGTAAGTAACTATTGAATAATTGATTTACCCTTTACCTTTCTAGACAAACCTATAGGAAAAAAAAATCTCTCTCCTCATAAGGGCTATTATTTATTTATTTTAATTAATGGGTATCAAGCATTCAATTGAATCTGATATAGCCTTCAAAGTGATAAGTGAAAAAAATAGAATAGAAAACACAGTGTGTGTAGAGGTATAACTTGAAGAATACTGTAAAGTAGTCCTTTTCTTCTGTCTGTCAGACACTATGGAGAAATCATATTACCCATTTAGTCCTTTGCCATGATATTAATCTAAAGAGATAGAGCCTTAAAGGGGAAAGCTGGCCTGTCCCACACCTATCTCCCTTTGGGAACCATGGAGAGGGGACTATGTCCTGGGAATGACCAGAAGCACAGTGCATGTGACACTTGACCAGGAGCTGCCAGTGATAAGGAAAAACATATGACACACAGAGCAGCTAATCAGTGGGCAAAACACAGACAGAATGTGGGACCAGAACTTCCATGCGGATTTTTTGGTTTTTTTGGTTTTGTTTTGTTTAAGATTTTATTTATTTATTTATTTGCCAGAGAGAGACAGCAAGAGAGGGAACACAAGTGGTGGGGAGGGCAGGGAGTGGGAGAGGGAGAGGCAGGCTTCCCACTGAGCAGTGAGCCCGATGCGGGGCTCAATCCCAGGACCCTGGGATCATGACCTGAGCTGAAGGCATACGCTTAACGACTGAGCCACCCAGGCGCCCCAGAACTTCCGTGTTTCTTATGGCCTTATGCTAGGAAACAGATTCTTACAAAGGATAGAAAGAACAATCATATTTGCACAAATACACAGTCTAGATGGTAGATGTGAATAAATAGCATTAAATATTAACCATGCTTTCCTCTGTCTTATGTCCCTATTTTTTTTGCAAACACATATATCGTTTTTCAAAAGTCTATTTATCAATAACCAACGATGGTGTCTTCCCTACTCCTCTCCTCTCAGAACTGCCCCCTCCCTGATCCCCACAAAACACACAAAGTGCCGGCGTATGCACACAAGCTGATCCTTTCCCAACCGTGTTAACATTATGTGATTCTGACCTCCCATGCCACAGCTGCTAGGACTGGGCACAGCACATTCTACCAGTAGGTAGAGAAGCAGAAAAATGTCGTTGAGTTTGTAGAGGGAGCCAAAAGAAGATGGCATAGAGGGCAACCCTGATATGAAATGGAGAATCTGGAAAGCTTTCTAGGTCTGCAGTCAAGTCCCTTCCTCAGGCCTGGCCACATGGTCTGGCTATTGTGGGTTCTGAAGACACCATGTGTCTTTATAATAAATCCCCCAACTCAGGTTGGTTTCTGTTACTTGCAACCAAACAGTTTTGACATGGTGCATACCAGGTAGCACTGGTGCTAGCTTCCACGGGCATTAACAAAGGCTATAGGCAAAGGACAGAGCCAACGCCTGATTTAATCGCCCTCACTCATTACACTCAAGTAACAATGCAGGCTTGGGTGTTGGGCCCATGGAATCAAGCCACGTGGAAAATAGCTTTATTACCTTATTCATCTCGATGCCCTCATGTTTATCAATAATGCCTCTTGACCAAAGGAAAGTGAGGTTTTTCAGAGCTTTAGCAATCACACTCCGGATTGCCTGCCTCGTCTTCAAAGCGATGACAACATCGCGACCCTCATGCTCTATGAGTCCTGAAGCAAATAAAACTGTTAGTAAGCAAACAATGCAATAAGCACAATAATAGCTAATATTTGTGTAGTGCTTTATAATTTCCAAAGTATTTACACAGTACCTATCATTCCTGTCTCATACAGAACTTGTGAGGCTGGGAGGACTAGAGTTTTTCAACTCTATTTTATGGATGAGAACATTGAAAACTGGCTTCCCCCACCAACTAGGAGAAAATCACTTTCTCTGCCTTATTTCCATGATATGTCCTACATATCTCCATTATGGAACTTAATACATTGTGGTATTTTGATTTTTACTTATTTGTCTCCTGCTAAATATCATATAACTTTTGTTGGGTGAATGAATAAATGACTTAACAAAAGAGCCCCTGGACTCAGCTGGTGGAGCTTTCTGAGATCAAATTGCATATCTTGTCCTCTTTTTTTTTTTTAAGATTTTATTTATTTATTTATCAGAGAGCGAGGGACAGAGAGAAACAGCATGAGAGGGGAGAGGGTCAGAGGGAGAAGCAGGCTCCCTGCGGAGCAGGAAGCGCGATGCGGGGCTCGATCCCAGGACTCCGGGATCATGACCTGAGCCGAAGGCAGTCGCCCAACCAACTGAGCCACCCAGGCGCCCCTATCTTGTCCTCTTTAATGAACACAAAAAGTCACGAACTGGACTGTGAGTCACGACCAAAACTGCATCTCTTTCATCTTTGTACTCCTAACATGGACCAAAATGCCTGATATCTGGAAGGTACCAGACTTTTTTTTTAACTGGCTGGTATAATGAAGGATAGTGTGATCAGGAACATAGGTCAGTGGAGCACTTGACTCTTGATCTCGGGGTTGTGAATTCAAGCCCCACGCTGGGTGTGAAACCTACTTAAAATTTTAAAAATTTTTTTTAAAAAAAAGGAACTTAGGTTTCAATGTCAAGTACACCTTGGCTGGAAATCTGGCTCACTACTTAACCACCCATACGACTTCAGGCAATTTAACCTTTCTAAACCTTAAATCTTATAGCTTCATTATCTATAAGATGAAGATGATAATAGTATTTGCCTCATAGAGTAATCATAAGGACTAAATGAGATAATGCATATAAACCTGTTAACACAGTTCCTGACATAATTAACATTTGACAATCAGTTTTAGTAACCATTTGGGAACAGGCACTCCGTTTTACAGGACTGAATCAAGAGAACTTTGTAATATTCCATAGTAATCTAAAAGCATAATATGAGACAGCAGCTCCTAGGCCGGCCCCTAATCTTTAAAAGCACAGAAATAAAAATCTACCTATATGTAAAGGCAACAGTGGGTCCTGGATTTTCTGAGACAGTGCCAAAATTTCTGGCATATTGTCTCCAAATTCACAATTTCATTCATTAGGCCACATTCTTCCAATTTTGATTTGGAAAGTATCATCCTCATAAATCCATATGGCATCTTATAATGTTGTTATGAATACAAAGTGGTTTTACTTGATTTATTTTATAATAACTTCCATTTATGCCAGGCTCTCTCCCAGATACTTTTGCATACATTGAGAGCCTGGCCTACAGCCCCTTACAAGGAAAACAGACCCAAGAAGCTTTGTATAAAATCCCAGGGCTCCTGCTGTGTGCTTCAGCTCAAGCAGAGTGATTATAGATGCTCAAGAAATGACATCCCTTGTAGCCCCACATTCCTGAGTATCCTTGCAAGCAAAGTAAAATAAAACAAAAACACCCTTTGTCAAATGTAATCATCGTGTGTCTTTTTCTTACAGCCTTAAGGAATCTGATCTTGCCACTTTAATACACTTTCTACACTCCTCATTCTTTCTGCTATGTTCCCATAGCAAATGCAAGACTTCTTCTAACTTTCTGCAATTACCCATTGATATTCTCATACTCTCCACTAAGCTCTGCATTTTTGGCATACCTCGCCTGTGTTCAATAAATGCTTGTTGTGTGAATAAATGAGTAAGTGAAGGAAAGTATGAACTTGTCTTCCCTTGGTAAAATTATGGGATAATAAGGTGTGATTTCAGGAAATCAGATACTCCCAACTACCTACCTAGTTCTTTGACAGCATCTCGTTTGTTGGTTTCCAAAATTTCATATAATTTCTGTAAGAAGTTAAGAAAGACATTAATTTGTTATTACACTAACTGCATGTCTGGCTTTAAAATCTGAGAAAAAGAAGAAATCCCACTTAGTTTATGATTTGGGGGAGATGTTTAGCTCAGTTCTTCCCTCTGTCCCAATTCTGCTGCTTTCCCTGTGTTCCCGCTCATATTACAATGAATAGTGTGCAGTCAGTAGCTTGCATAACTACTGGACCCAGCCTTTCTCAGAAAAGATTAGTGTGCATTCTGCTGTGCACCAAGGAGAATTCTCACAGACAGAGCTTTGTTAAGAGAGAGCCCACTGAGCAGCTGTTTGGGCAGCCAGTCTATCAGGAGCATAAAAACAAGGGGAATAATGAGAAACGATGGTATTGATTAGTTCATGTTTCCTATGGATAATTCCTGACATAACTAAGAGATAGCTCTACTCCAGGGCTAACCGCGGTTTAAGCTGTGTTCAATCATACAATGGGTATTGGTCAAATGCCCACCATGTCCCAGGCACTGCTCTTTGTGGAGCTTATTCTCCAACTTTAAATCTTTCTGGAGCTTGCACTTGGCCACACCAACAGCCCTGGCAGCAAACAACAGGCAGTTCCCTAGGATTGTCAGGTACAGATAACTGAAATCCTGCACCCAAATAACACAGCATAGTGCTATTTACAGGGAAGAGTAACGAACACAGTGTTATTTTACTGGCTTATTTTTTGTTTTGTCTTGTTTTAAGATTTATCTATCCATTTTAGGGGCACCTGGGTGGGTCAGTTGGTTAAGCATCTGCCTTCAGCTCAGGTCATGTTCTCAGGGTCCTGGGATGGAGCCCGGGTCAGGCTCCCTGCTCAGTATGGAGCCTGCTTCTCTCTCTCCCTCTGCCCCTCTCCCAGCTTGTTCTCTCTCTCTCTCTCTCTCCTCCTCTGCGCCCCCTCTTGTGCTCTCTCTCTCACTCTCTCTGTCTCCAATAAATAAATAAAAATCTTTTAAAGAAAAGATCTACCTATCCATTTTAGAGAGAGTGTGTGTGCACACGCATGAGCAGAGGGAGAGAGGGAGAGAATCTCCAGCAGACTCCCCGCTGAGCACAGAGCCCAACGCGGGGCTCCTTCCCAGGACCTTGAGATCATGACCTGAGCCAAAATCAAGAGTGTGATGCTTAACCAACTGAGTGACCCAGGTTCCCCTACTGGCTTGTTATCTAAAGTTTAAGCAGCTAAAGTTAAGTTTTTGCTGTTGCTTTGGTCTAGAAAAATCACATGTAATAAATCCCTCATCTTGAATATAAGAATGAGGTACACAATTTTTATTAAATTGTTTATTTTCACTTGATAACACCAAATCAATATTGGGAAGGTGCCAAATTAATGGCTTGCCCACGGCACCCACACACCGTGGCCCCTCCCCGCTCGCACAGGTGCATAGGTAGCTGTGAAGACCCCTTCAAACCAAACTGCACTGATAGCAACTCCATAACAATGTTACAGAACGACCTGCACAAGAGAGCATAGGAACCGACTCCTACCCACACATGGAACATAATCATTAAAGCCTGGGCATACATGTGACTCCTCTAAGTGAGCTGCCACTGGTCAGTTTTTGAACCACGTCACTTTCAGAAAAAAACACAAGTTTGAGATCTAAACACATCTCAAAGAAAAACATTTAAATCTTTACTGAAGTCTCCTTTATAAATGCCAAAGGGGAATTTGTTTCATCTCTTACACTTTGAGGCAAGCACCCCCACATGTCAATGCCTTCCCCCAAACTCCTCAAAACACATTACCTCCCACCACTGACTGCTGCTTTCTTCTCTCCTCTTCCAGTTTCTGAAATCTTTTCTCCTATGAATAGCTCTATCTTCTTTCTAGTATAGCTCCATCTAGACTTTCTGTGCTTCTTTTGTCTTCTCTAATATTCAAAGTAAATCAACAAGATAGAATTCTGTTGCACATTTGATCCAATAATCGATACTTCCTTGATAAATCCAGAGAATAGTTCTCTAGCCTATCTATAAGGATGTCATGAAAGACGTTAGATGCTTTGCTAAAATTCAGCTATCCTCTTCCTATAGTGGTCCCTGATTAAAAAAGAAAATTTTAAATTCTAAAGATATTTAACAATATATCTTCTTGTATATTTTAGAAATTAAAACATTAGGGTAGGTATCTTCACAGCCTCTTTCCCTCTCCTGGATTTAATAAGGAAAGAGCCTCTCTTTCTTGGCTGAGGGCCTGAGGTAACTCACAGTCATCACAAAAAGATAGGCACAATAAGCAGAAGATATAACCCTCAGTCCATTCCTGATTTTGTGTATACACACACAATTATTAGATCTGGGCTTTAGTAATCAGGATTTAAATTCATTGTCAGATTAAAAATCAAGAGTCTCTAATGATGTACTATATGTTGGCTAACTGAACATAGTAAATAAATAAACAAACAAACAAACAAATAAAAAATCAAGAGTCTCACTTGGGCTGAGAAAATGCCCTTCAGCTATTGATACTGTTCACTTTGGACCCCTCATCTACACATCTGAAAATAAAAGCAAAAGTCACCAAACATGGGGCAGGTAAAACAGGATGAAAGACAAGAACCAAACGTGACAAGTGGAAGAATGAACCTCAAGGAAGCAAAACTAATACAGGAAACAAAAAATTTTTAAATAAAGAGATTCAAGGGAATAGCACATTTGTTTTAAAAAAAGGTAGGGGAGAACCAGTTTCAATGAAAAGAAGCAATCACAGTACTTGGAGATCAAAAAGTGTTCAGTCAAAAAAGAGGAGAGAAAATTTAATAGATGGACTGAATATCAGAATGAACACAGCTACAAACTGGATTCGGAACATGGAAAATCAAGCTGAGGGGAGGGGGTTCTCACTGTAAAGAGGTAAGACTTGGAAGTTATGAGAAACCTTGAAACAAGGACTAAATCCAGAAATTCAAGAATTTGTTTAAAATGGTGCTGAAAGAATGAAATCTTGCCATTTGCAACGACGTGGATGGAACTGGAGGGTGTTATGCTGAGCTAAATAAGTCAATCAGAGAAAGACATGTATCATATGACCTCACTCATATGAGGAATTCTTAATCTCAGGAAACAAACTGAGGGTCGCTGGAGTGGTGAGGGGTGGGAGGGATAGGGCAGCTAGGTGATAGACATTGGGGAGGGTATGTGCTATGGTGAGCGCTCTGAATTGTCTCAGACTGTTGAATCACAGACCTGTACCTCTGAAACAAATATACATTATATGTTAAAAAAAAAAAAAGAAGAAGAAGAAGAAGAAGAAGAAGAAGATAGCAGGAAGGGAAAAATGAAGGGGGGGAAATCGGAGGGGGAGATGAACCATGAGAGACTATGGACTCTGAGAAACAAACTGAGGGTTCTAGAGGGGAGGGGGTGGGAGGATGGGTTAGCCTGGTGATGGGTATTAAAGAGGGCACGTTCTGCATGGAGCACTTGGTGTTATGCACAAACAATGAATCATGGAACACTACATCCAAAACTAATGATGTAATGAATGGTGATAAACATAACATAATAAAAAAATGATGCAAATGGCAAAATAGAAACCAAGGGGAGGGAATAATCAAAGAGGTGATGGAAGAAATATGGCAATCTTCTGATTATGAAAGCTCCAACAAGTGCTGCGTGGGATAATTTTTTTTAATTTTTTTACTTTTTAAGTTATGTCTCCTACCCAAGACCCTAAGAACAAGAGTCCCATGCTCTACCAACTGAGCCAACAACACACCCCGATAATTTTTTTAAGATTTATTTATTTATTTTAAACCATGCATGCACGTGAGTAGGGCGAGGGGCAGAATAAGAGAATCCTCAAGCAGACTCCGCCATGAGCTCTGAGCTGGAGGTGGGGCTCAACCTCACACTCCTGAGATCATGACCTGAGCCAAAACTAAGAGTTGGACCCTTAACCAACTGAGCCACCCAGATGTCCCCATTTTTTTTTTAAAATCACACCTAGACACATTCTGGTAAAAATTCAGAACTCCAAGGAGGAAAATCCTATAAGCCTCTAAACACAGAGAGAAAAAAGTCACCTACAAAAGCACAAGTAAAATCAGACTTGTATCATCAATGCTGAAGACAGATGGCAGTATCTTTTTTTTTTTTTTTAAGATTTTATTTATTTATTCATGAGAGAGAGAGAAAGAGAGGCAGAGGGAGAAGCAGACTTCCCGCAGAGCGGGGAGCCTGATGCAGGACTCAATCCCAGGACTCCGCGATCATGACCTGAGCCGAAGGCAGACGCTTAACCATCTGAGCCACCCAGGCGCCCAGATGGCAGTATCTTTAAGAAAATAGTTTTGGACAGTGAAAAGATCAATTATGAGAGCAAAATACAAAGATTTTTTCATGTGTTAGCCCATAAATCACCTATGAAAAAAATTACTTATGGGCATAATCTAGCATGATAAAAAGGTAGGCAAAAATGAGGCTCACATGGGACTCCAGACAGGGTGGCTGAAGAATATAAGCTAAAGGAAGAGAGGAAGATAGTTTAAAAAACACTTTTTTAATTAATCCATTTGACTGTTTCCTTTAGAAGAGTCTCTTTCAAGTAGTAGATGTTTAATGATACTGATCATATTTCTTTTGTTATGAGTTGAATCAAATGATAGGTTCTACACTGAATAATATATAATCACAACAAAGTAAAGGTTGTTTTTTAGTTTTCCATGTATGGAGTCATTTATTGAAAAGAATAAAGACATAATATAATTACATAATAAAATGTAAATGTTATAAACCTTTTCTCTGTAAAAATAATTGCTCCAAAAATTTAAGATGGGGAGAAAAAGAAAAGGCTAAAGCAATATTCTAATCTCTTTGTACTTCATGGCAGAGTAAATAAAGGCTGTTTAGAGATAATAAATCAAGAATAAAATACATGTGCACATTATTAAAATTATTATGGCAAACAGTAGAGGAATTAACACAAGAGTAGTTACTATGGGGATGCCTGCCTTCAGCTCAGGTCCTGATCTCAGGGTCCTGGGATCGAGTCCTACATCAGGCTCCTTGCTCAGCAGGGAGCCTGTTTTTCCCTCAGTGTGCCATGCTCACTCTCTCTCTCTCTCTTTCTGACAAATAAATAAAATCTTTAAAAAAAAAAAAAAAAGAAGAATGGTTACTCTGGGGCTGTCTCTGGGAAGCCGTAGCGTGGAGGGCAGGGAGGGATACTTTTACTTCTTGAATTTTATTACTTTCAAGTTGTAAAATTCTGCATGATTATTCTCTTACCATCTTTTCTGCGTTCTCTCCTCTCTACATATATATATATTTGGATTCAAAGACCTTACCCTTCAGGCCATGCAGAGCCACTGAATATTCTTTTTTCTTTTTTTTAAAGTAGGCTCCACATCCAGCATGGAGCCCAACGCAGGCTTGAACTCACAACCCTGAGATCAAGACTCAGCTTAAGCAACTGAGCTGCCCAGGTGCCCCGCTACTGAATATTCTTAAGCAGAAAGTCACATGTGGAACTTGAAACATTACTCTACTAGTTTGCAGAGGGTCCTGGGTGGACAGCCTGGCATGAGGGAACCAAGTCAAGAGGTGATTCACTCCATCTTCGAGTGCCTAGTATGCTCACATCCTCATCTCCCATTTGGTACCTACTTCATGCTGCCTGGAAATAAGGAGGGTCTTGAATGATCAAATAAATAGATAAATAAATAAATAAATAAATAAATAAATAAATAAATAAATAAATACTACTACTACTCAGCCATTCTTCAGCACCAGCATTTCGAGTTTTCAACGTCAAATCTTTCTTCTCTTTCCCTCTCTCTTTCTCTCCACTTCAGACCTACCCTTTCTTTGAAGACTCGTGAGTTTTGATTCCTGCACGAAGCCTTTTCCAACTTGCCCTACCCTTTAGAGAGTGTTACAAAGGCAGACGAATCTCTCGTCTGCATCCAGAAAAAAAAAATGAAGGGTAGATTTTCCTCTGTGAAGATCATAAACAAGTTTGATAAAGACACCTGACATTTAAAGAGCAAAGACTGTCCTCTGCAGCACCTCTTATAACATAATAAGCAATTGAAGCCCCTTCACTTGCCACAATTTATCTGTTGGATCAAATACAAGTAGAAGTAGTCTTAAAAGATATGACTACACTCAAGTGATTGTTTTCGCAATCTTGTCTCTCACCTGATATATTGATTCTCGGCTGGAAATTTGTTTTATTAAAAATTTGGTATCCTCTTGACTTTTGACATAACCTTTTGTAATACTATACATCAAGCGGAGGCGCTTTTTGATCTGCACATCTACAATATTTATCAGTAGTGGGATTATTATCTGGAACAATGAAGAGAAAAAAAAGTGTGAAAATTTGATGAGGAAACGCACGCTTGAAGGCAGGTGTTCTCAAAGTGTCATCTTGGGGAGCAGTGACATTACCCAGAGACTTGTTAGAAATGCACATTCTCATATACTTCTTAGCTCTAAATTTCTCAAATCATAAGCTAAGGCAAGAGAGTGTCGTGACTAAAGAAAATGGGATTTTAAATATAAACCCTCCGAGGTTCAAGTGCGAGCTCTCCTATTCACCAGTTCTATGACTTGAGCAAGTTACTTGTGACCTTGAGGATTCTGTCTCCTCATCTGTAAAATGAGGGTAGTAATACTTAAGTACCCGAAGTCCAACGGAGCAGCCCCTCACAACCAATACAGTCAATCACAGAGACAGAATCAGGTCAGAATGCAGGGTAGATGGTGAGGAGCCAGGTCACAGAGGAGGAAGGTGAGAAGAGCAAAATAACATCATAGCAAAGGAATTACAAGGGCAGAGAAAGAAGAGATTTTTAGCTGCTCTTATGCTCTTTGGCCAGAGGGAGAGATAGTAAAGAGGATTTTTACAAAGTGTTATTCCATAATGCACTGACACCCCCTGAGCTGTTCCTAAGAGGATCTAAGGTAAAAATCTCCAATATTCCTCCAAGTTCTCCAATATAGGCTTCTTTTGAAAGCCACATTGTACTGAGACAGGCTATTAGAGCACCTGACTTGATATGTGGTAACACCTACTTCACAGGGCTATTCAATAATTTAATTAGATAATATATGTAAAGTGCTCTGCACAGTTCCTGGAACATAGTAAGTGCTCAATAGAAAAAGTTAATCCTGATTATATTAATTCCTTAAGTATACTTCACGGAGATTTGTCAAAGTGTGCTGGACAGAAGTAGCAACTGGTTCACACTCTGAATAGAGTTGACTTCCACAATAACACATCTTTAAATCTGTACTTCCCTCAGAGAGACATTTCACAAAGTATTACTTCTACAATAATCATTTTACCTTCATCTGCATCCAATCTCTGTATAAAAACTGATTACCTAAGGAAGCTTCTCCTTTCCATTTTAAGACTTAGACTCATGCTGCACATCCTGATTTCTAGTGTACTTTGTGTTATGGTGGGGTTGTACCTTATGTAGACACTTGGCTCTAAGCTTGTAAAGCAAAAATCACAAATAATCAAAATTACCCCTTAAAGCAGGGTTTATGTATACAACTCTGCATAGTAACGCTTTTGAACACCAAAGCTTGGTAACAATGATATAGAATCAAGGAAAGAACAGACAATAAAGTCTACAAGTACAAGTCTGAGCATTCAAACAATTCTGCCTTTAAGATGACTACTAAATTTCATGGAGAATGGGAATAGTTGGAGGATTCTAATGAATCCCTTTTGTCACCAGAGTTTTCAGCAGTTGTTTTTTTTTTTAACATTAATCCTTCATAACTTCAACACATACCAATAAACTTGTTTGACATAATAAGAATTAAAGAACTCAAAAAAAATGGAGTGGCAAATGAAATCATCTAAAGCTCCCAAGTTAAAAGCTTATATAAGACAACTTCTTTGGAAAGAAAGACAGGAAGTTTAAGAGCTGAGACTGGAAATCTGAAAATCTACTTTCAGAATCAAAACCAGAGGCATGGAGAGAAGGAATAGTAGCTGCTACAGAGACTGAAGGACACAGCAAAATTAAGTTCCATAGGCAGTATGCTATATAAAAATGGCTTGTAGAGAAAATATTTTCATGCTTCTGCACAGTTAGGCCTTTATGAGCAAATTTTACTAAAGCCTAGAAAACTTGTTTCTTGGTCACCATGGTTCAAGTGGCACCAACATTTTCATTCTTTCACTCAACAAATATTTGATTAAGAACTTACTATATGCTAGGCACCATTCTAGAGCCGTAGGTTACATCAGTGACCAATACAAAATCCCTAACTCATGGAGAGTACATGCAACATACAGTACAAAGGTATCAAGTGCTATGAGGAAAAACTAAACCTGAAGCAGGTCGGGTGGGGGGGCGTCAGGAAGATGCGATGGGAAACTGGTATGTGTGGGGGGACCACACAGGGTGATCAGGGAAGGCATTCTCTGCAAGAAGGTGAGAGGGTGAACCAGGCAGACTCCTGTAGAGAAAGCATTCCAGAAAAGACAGCTCCTTCTCTTGTTTCCTTCAAAATAATGAGGTTTCTTAACACATTTAACAGTGTAGAAAAAAAAACCCCAATATTCAGAAGTGTGATGTTTTACCTTGATGAAAGGAATAAACCTGATTATTCTGAAATATCCTAGTATTACTGTAATCTGAATAAGGACGAAGTTGTCTGGTCTCAATTTGACAAAGTATATACAAAAGATATCAATGATTCCAAGAAGCATGATAAGAAAGTCCAAAGTATTCCAATATTGATGAAAATATTTCCTTTTCAAAATTACTATCTATTTAGAAAACAAACAGAATGTACATTATTTCATAGCACTATACAGTGATGGGGGAGGGGATGGGTCTTCAAAATTAACAATTCAGTCCTCAACTACAAATGAGTTGTAATCCAAAAGTTGAGTTTTAAGTTATTCATTCGGAGTTCCAAACAAATATTTTTAATCTCCAACATCAAAATCATAATTTGATTCAAAATATATATAATCTATAATGAAATTGAAATGCCAAAAGCAAGCAGTTAAAAATAGCAGTAAAGAGAGTCATTGCAACACTATTAATAATAAAGTATGAAAACAGTAATGCTGACAAATCATCTTTGAAGTATTTATTCTAAAAAGTAGTTCTTGGGACTCCTGGGTGGCTCAGTAAGTCAAGTGTCTGCCTTCGGCTCAGGTCATGATCCCAGGGTCCTGGGATCGAGTCCCACATCAGCCTCCTTGCTCAGCAGGGAGCCTGCTTCTCCCCCT